GCAGCCCCCATCCGGGTCTGGCAGGTGCACAGCCTTGGGGCCACATGCTGTCGCAAGTGGCAGCAGGTCACAGCCGGGTAGCAGCCCCCACTGCCAGACTGCTGCAGTGAGTAAAGGGTGCAGGGAACTCTCAGGGCTGCTTCAGCAGTCCAGCTGGCACAAGGGGTAGTGTCCTCAGGTACCAATTGGCTGAGAGTGAGTAGCCCTGAGCTACTTGCCAAGGCAGCTTTTTGTGCTGCTGGGCCAGCACAAGTGCTGGCCCCAGGCTCTAGCCCCCCTTGGCTGCAGATCTGGGAGGAGCCAGGCAGGGTTAGTTTGCCCCAAGTAGCACAATTTGCCCCACAACAAAGTGCATGTCTGGGCACGTGTGCTGAGGCAAAAAGCCCCGGCTCAAATTTGCACAGCTTCTATTTTAGCTGCTGCAAGCACACATGCCTGCATGTGTGGATGTGCCCAATGAGTCTTCAGCCCAACTTGGGTTTTGGAGTCTTGTGGAAAGGTTTGGCTGTCCAAGGAAGTTTATATCTTAAGACAGCTCCATGATGGTGTGGGTACTAAGGTTAAAGGTTAATAGCATCCTATCTAACTGCTTCCTTCTGCCAAGTGGCATAGTGGTTAAACTAGCATATGCCTTAGGGCAAGGGATGGCAAACTACAGTTTACAGACTGGATCTGGTGCTCCAAACAGTTTTATCTGGCTTCAAATGCAATAGTGCTAAACAAGGTGGCCCCTGTCCTTAATGCTGGGTTTAGGCTTCATTTCGGAACTGAAGGAGATTCTTTTTAGATTATAAGCGGGGTGCAAGGTTGCCAAATGGACTATTAGAAACCATTGCATGTCAGTGACTGGTTGCTGGTTGCCTACCCCATGGGAGATCTTCAGCTGTTGGTAGACCATTTCACAGCCACTGCAACCAGCTTGTGCTCTTGAGTGGAAATGTCCATTTTGTGATAAAAAGTATTTATCATGCATAGGACTGTACAGTCACCTGTGTATGCACTAAGAAGGGGGACACCACCCATGACACTATCATCTTCAACTACAAGGGTCTCCCAATGACAATGACATTGTGCAGACCTGAAACAGATGTCTATGGGGACAAGGTAACATCATTGCTCTAAAGTAAAAGTCTACCCTGATGATGTGTCCAACAGTATAAATTTGACCTATGGAATTACCTGGCAGCTAGAATTATAAGCACAGTGTTTTTATTAACTCTAGTGAGTGTCACACTCTCTGATCCAGGCTCTCAGAAGATAAACGGGAAAAGAAAAATTGGTTCTACCTACCAACACTTGAAATGTCCAGAAGTTTGCATGCTTATCTGAATCTCACCCAAAGCAATTTGATATGGCTGCCTGATATGAATAAGCTGTATCAGGTGATCTCAAATTCTCCCTGGTTCCAGCATATCGGGAATGAATGCTTTTGCATTTCTGAAGCACTTATGTTGCCAGTGCAAGCAGCAGCTAGTAAGTACAAATGTAGAAAATTTAAAAAAGGTAACTAAACATGGTTAATCTTTGAAGACTGGCTTGGATTTAGTTCAAGATTTGGAGAAGGATCTGGTTCCCTTCATGCTTTAATTACTCTGCCTAGTCCTGTTCACAATTTGGAGTTAATGGGAAAAGAGTGCAGTTGTCTCTCATCTTGCAATGAACTAGAGGTATCAAAGCCTGATGTCTTAGCCTCTGATATAACAAAGTATCTGATACATGCCAGGCGTGTCTGTCTATGCATTCATTATTGCGCAGTAGTTACTGAGCATTTAATCTAATACTTGCTTAATGGAGCACTAACTAAATGCACAGTAACTACAGTTACTGTGCAGTAGTGCTGGTGAGGCTTACTGTGCAGTAGCTTAATACTACTGTGCAACAGTGTATTAGCACTTTTTTTGCCTGGCATGTTACTGTGCAGTATTATTAGGCTACTGAGCATTAAGCGTCCTGTATGGACATGCCTGCCTAAGATTAAGGACTTGATTACTGTAGTTGATAGGACTATTCAGGTATTTAAAATCTTTGCTGAACTTCTTCCTGAATCAGGATCTGAGCTCAAAAGTAGCAGCTCACATTTGGTTTACTTTGAGTAAAACAAATGCACAGGTTTTTGAATCCTGAAAGGGACACTTCACAGGTAGATGAAAAAGTGTGCCACTGATGAAACCAAAAGTGAAAAGATGGAAACTTCAGAAATAAAAAAAGAATAACTGGAATGTTAAAAAGACAGATTGAAACATTTTCTCCTATGAAATACTCTAAACTATCCCCTGTGAAACATGACACATTAGGTTTAACAAGGAATGTTTTCAACAGGGCCTGGGAGCTTGAAGGTCTCACTGGCCCAGAAGCGCAGCCAGGTCCCAGAGATGGCCAATAAAGTTTGTACGTACCAGTGTCCTTGATTTTGGACTGGGTTTTGTGAATGCTAAATAAAAACTGCTGATCACTGATTTGTTCTTAGTAGTTTTTCATACCTGGTTTAAGGCTAGTTACTCCTTCTCCAGTACTCTCCACAACACCAGCTGCTTCATGGCCAAGAATCATTGGTAAAGGCATAGTGAGTAAACCAGCTGTCACATGATCATCTGAGCGACAGATCCCTGTGGCCAAAATCTGTATGGAAAGCAAAGAATATTTCAACTGGAAGGAATCTTTTGCTTATATTTTACCTGCATGATATGATGGGGAAATTAATGGGAAAAGAGAAGTGAAAATGCATTTAAATTTGGAAAAGTAAATTTTCTATACTATATTTTATAAATTTTATTTTTGAAAACTTTCCATCAAAAAACACAATATACCTAAGAGATAAAAATCTAAAAGTTATACAGGATAGACCTAAGAGAGTGATCCCAAGGCTGCCTATTTATTGCAGACATAAACTTGTGATATTTAGGGTCTGTGTTTAGCAAGTCATGGCCCTCTTAATCTTCCCACCAAGATTCTTTTATGAATATTTACTGTGTGTGATATAAATATAGGAAAATTGTTTGTTATCTCAAAAAGTAAACATTCTAAGATGACAAATGATGCTTGAAGAGCAGGGGTACAAAAAACTATACATAATCTTTACATATACACAGCATGCAACTTAAAATGTTTACAATTACCTCAGTCCTGGGGAAGCTCTTTGAGAAAATTATCCAGGAGCACATCTGTGAGGACCAGCAGGGGAGATTATGCATAGGGGCAACCAACATGGGTTCATTAGAGGCAGGTCCTCTCAGACCAAACTGGTGGCCTTCTATGACCAGGTCACAAAATCTTTGGATGATGGTATCACAGTGGACACAGTCTTTCTGGACATTAGGAAGGCCTTCAACACTGTCTCTCACCCCATTCTCATAAAAAAATTAGGTGACTGTGGCATCGATGCCTACACAGTCAGATGGGTCGCAAGTTGGCTGGAGGGTCATACTCAGAGAGTGGTGACGGATGGGTCGTTTTCAACCTGCAGGGATTTGGGCAGTGGGGTTCCCCAGGGCTCAGTCCTCGGGCCCGCACTGTTCAACATCTTCATCAGCGACTTGCACAAGGGGGTGAAAAGCACCTTGTTCAAGTTCACGGATGACACTAAGACGTGGGGAGAAGTGGGCAAGTTAGAAGGGAGGGACAGGATACAGCTAGACCTGGACAGGTTACAGGGGTGGGTAGATGAGAATAGGATGGGTTTTAATACTGACAAGTGCAAGGTACTGCACCTGGGGAGGAAGAACAAGCAGCATACCTATAGGCTGGGGAACTCCCTTCTTGTCAGCACGGAGGCAGAAAAGGATCTTGGAGTCATTATTGATTCCAGGATGAACATGGCTGACAATGTGAGGATGCAGTCAGTAGGGTCAACTGCACCTTGTCATGCATCCATAGATGCATCACGAGCAAGTCCAAGGAGGTGATCCTCCCCCTCTATGCGACACTGGTCAGGCTGCAGTTGGAGTACTGCATCCAGTTCTGGGTGCCGCACTTCAGGAATGATGTGGACAGCATTGAGAGGGTCCAAAGGAGGGACACTCGAATGATCAGGGAGCAGCGGGGCAGACCCTATGAGGAGAAGCTACAGGACCTGAACCTGTTCAGCCTTTACAAGAGAAGGCTGAGAGGGGATCTGGTGGCTGTCTATAAACTTACCAAGGGGGACCAGCGGGGATTGGGAGAGACCCTGTTCCCCTGAGCACTACCAGGAGTAACTAGGAATAATGGCCGTACATTGACTGAGAGTAGGTTCAGACTGGACATTAGAAGGCACTACTTCACATTCAGGGCGGCTAGCATCTGGAACCAACTTCCAAGGGAAGTGGTGCTTGCTCCTACCCTGGGGGTCTTCAAAAGGAGGCTAGATAATCACCTTGCCGAGGGAGTTTGACCCTAGCATTCTTTCCTGCCCATGGCAGGGAGTCAGACTTGATGACCTGCTTAGGTCCCTTTCGACCCTACCAACTATGAAACTATGAAAATGCAACAAAACCACCCTTACTGTAGGCAATGGCTCTCCTTTCTTTTAGAAGACAAATTTATCTTGAACACAGCAAATTATGTCTCAGTAATGTTTGTATTTTCACAAACAAATGTAAAACGTCTATGTTATTTTTTGACCCCTTGACAGAATCCATCTTAGGCAGTTGATTTTTTGTTAATATTATTTAAGTCCTTTATAGTCTCTGAGAGAGCAAAGTGTGGATGCTCCTCCCTTATTTAATATTTGAAGCCACTATAAGAACAAAATAGTCACTGATTTTGACAAAGATAGAAAATTCTTAGAAATTTAAACATGCAGTGCCCAGGCAATCTCCCCCTCCCCAGCCCTGCTCTTTCCCCCCTGAAAACCCCACCTCACACATTATATCCTCATAGCCACATAACACAACTTGCTATGAAAGATTTATATGAACAAGGACAAATAGAAAGTCTAGCCATGTCATGGATGTATTTTAAACACTAATTATAATGAAATTTTACGACCTGATTAATAAAACTCATATCTTGGATTAGGTATAATCACTTCTTTGAGAAAATTTACTTGGAAAACCTCTAATTCTTTTATTAAAAGAACATTATGACATTCTTTCAGACTCAAAATTAATTCAGTGGAGTTCACCAGACAGCAAGTCCTTTACCAGGTAATGTTTACAAGATGGTGCCCTAAATGTCTCTAAACGTCTGTCTTACTGTAACAGGGGGTGGCCATGATGCCCCTGGATCCCTCCTCAGCCCTTGTCAACTTGCTCTCTCTGGGCAATCTCCCTTTCCTCTTGTCTGCCATGCCTTGATGAAATGCTACTTTTAGAAAAAGGAGGTTGCCCCTGGGCTTCCAAGTCAGATCTCCTCTCATGAACACAGGTGTCTGTACTCATTGTCTTAAGGGCTAATTACATGGCTCCGACTGCCCTTTACACCACAACCATGCCTCACAGATGTTACTCATCCCTGCTGATACATGCCCCTCCTGGGCTATGGGATCCCAGTCCCAGTCCTCACCCCTTTTGGGCTATGGTCTTTCCTCAGTCTCCAGTTATGATCCCCAGTCTTTGGCCCCTCTCTGGGCCCTGGCCTTCCTCTTGGCCAGTCAAGAATCCTGAACTCCCCTGGCTCCAAGTCTCCATCAGTGGCCCTCCTCAGCCTTTGGCCCATCTCTGGCCCCTGGCCCCATTCCTGGCCCAGTCAGACTTTTGGGTTTCCTGGCCCTGTTGACACATACCCCTCCAGGGCTACAGACCTCTGGGCTCCCTGACCCTGATGACACTCACCCCCTCCTGGGCTACAAACTTCTGGGCTCTCTGGCCCCTCTCTCCCTTGTGAGTCAGCTAGGACATCCTTACCTCCCTTTAGTCCAGGCCAGGGCTTCCCAACCTTTTCCGCAGCATGACCCCATTTAAACAATGGAAACTTTTTGTGACCCGAAAATGATGCAGACAAGATCAGCTAGGAAGGATTCATCAAATTTCTGCTTTCATGTCTTGTACTCCTTTCATTTCTTGTTCTCATCCTTGTCATTAGTTTTAAGCCACAGCTCAAAGCAGAAGCATGGAGAAATGCATCCATGTATGTAAAATGTATTTCGGCTAGACAGTATCAACACACTGATTTTGCATCAGCTTCCTGTAACATACAAGCACCTTGCATTGGAGCTGCAACTGTCGTGTATGGACAAATAACTGCCAAGTGCGAGAGTTGCATATTTATAAACAGGAAACATATTCATCATAATCAGTCAACACTGTTGAGCATCTTTGCGACCCCATTTTATCATTGAAACCGCAAATGGGGTCAAGACCCCAAGGTTGGGAACCACTGCTTTAGACCCTTTCACAAGCCACCACTTGTTGCTTTCCCCCAGCGGACAAGTTAAACAGGAGTCCTGCTGTGGCTCTGTTGCCTAGGAGCTCCTCTCCCCATGGCTCTCAGGGCTAGACTTTCTGACCAGCTCAGGCCCAGGGCTTATATGCTTCAAGCCAGGCGCCCTTCTGGTCAAGTGACTCTCTAATGGGCCCCCGCTACACCTGCAGACTGCTTCTCCTACAGACTCTTCCCTTCTTAAAATGACAGAGGCACGCTTAGTACCCTGACACATACCTCTCTCACTTTGTTCACACCTTCTCTGGGGGGGTCTTACCCTTCAGCCTCCACAAAGTGCTTTTCTGCTTGATGTGGTCCCCTAGCCTTTTTCCTGCCACAGAATAACCCACAAGGCAGACCCACAAGGCAATAATTCACAACCCATACTCAGCTTACCCTGAGGTGGCAATATGTGGCTTTTTATAGAGGCTACATGGTCACAGGAACCCCACCACATCAATGCAGCGCCAGGAGGGTGCAGTTTCAGGTCATACCCATAACCAGGAGATTCCCACTCTTGGGCTTCCTAGATGTCTCTTATGCAGTTATCTGAGGCTGCCCGTTCCCGGCATCTTATTTTCCTGTGCCATGATAAGCCCTCTCTTTTGCCTCTATACATTTCTCTTGGACTCTAATGCTCACCCTATGGGTCTCCCTTAACTTCTGGCCTTTTCTTCCTTTAACAGACCCTCTTTAACTCAGGTGTCACTGCCTTAGCCAGCCCCTTCCTGGGCTGCAGGATCTTTAAACCCCTCTGTCTCCAGCTATGGCCTTCCTGGCCTTCAGTCTTTACTTAGACCCTGACCCCACTTCTCGGCCAGTTGGGACACTGCTGGGGTCAGGCACACAGCCACCAGTCCTTACTTGCCTATGGGTCTGCTCCTCTGCCCCTGCTCAGGCTCCATGCAGTCTGGCCCCAGATTCTGCCCCTCTCTGGCCCTCTGGTCCCTCTTTCCTTTCTGGACCAGCTGGGACCTCCTTACCTCCCCTTACTCCCTTTCCTAGTTGTTGCTTACCCCAGCTCACATGGTAACCAACAGTCCTGCTGCAGCCCTGCTGCCCAGAGCTCCTCTCCCCATAGCAAGAGGAGCTCCTGGGCAGCAGGGCTGTGGCAGATCTGATGGGCTAGACTCCTGGACCAGCTCAGGCCTCAGGCTTGTATGTTTGAAGCCCGGACCCCTTCTGGTCAGGTAACTCTCTAATTGGCAGCTGCCATACCTGTTGGCTGCTTTTCCCACAGCCTCTTCCCCTTTTAAAGTGTCACTGTTACCAATGATAATTCACAAAGCTCATCTGGCTTTTTGGGGGAGGGTTGGGGGGGCATAGTGGGGTTGTTTGTTTGTTTGTTACCTTAATGCGAACTTCATGTGCCTTTGGTGGGGCAACTTCTATCTCCTCAATGGAAAATGGTTTCTTAATCTCCCAGGTAATAGCTGCTTTGCATTTAATGACCTGTGGAAAGAATAAAAGAAAGAAATTGGCATGCATGTATGTGATTGTACATGTGTGAATAGATACAAACTTGGCCCAAATGCTGCATTCATCTTTTTCATAAATACTCCCACTCAGATTTGGTTGCATGGTAGGTTTGTGACCACCAGCAATGCAAGCTCCCATCATTATGCATCAACAGATAAAAGGGTGCTTGAAGAACATTTTTTCCTGATTCAGAGCAACCTTATAGCCACCTTCTCTCTCTCTCTCACGTAGTCCTCAAGCATATCTGAGCATCATTCAGAAGTATGTCTCGGACGGCCAGAGCCGACTCGAGTTACGTTAGAAATTGCTCGTACGTTAGGGTGGGCTGGTGAATGGAGAGGCAGACACAACTTATCGGTTGCAAAAAACTTTACTCACGCCGCTTGCAATCATGATGCAGGTGGTCCGGTCGTCTGAACAATACGAGTTGTTCCAGCTGGCAGGGCCCAAGCCAGTTAATCCGTCTGCAATTCGAAGCCGGTGGGGAAAGGGGTACGTCTGGGGTTGCGCTCGGCGACGGGAAGAAAGATCGATAGGTGATCAGTCTATCGATTGGCAGCCGCAAGTCAGATAACTTCAG